TATCCACTCGGCCATAACTTACTATAACAAGTACTGTACGATAACTTTTGTTACTTATACGACGATAACTGAACATCCTAATTACGATAACTTTTCGTGTTCATATAACGATAACAGCGAAAGTACGATAACTTCTGATACACGACGATAACTCGGCATCCTAAGTACGATAACTTTTGGTATTTATAAAACGATAACTTAGCATTTTAAGTGCAATAATGAATGTATTTTTCTTAAAGAGGTTCTTACATTTTTCTGGCCACTTCTCTCTCTCTCTCTCTCTCTCTCTCTCTCTCTCTCTCTCTCTCTCTCTCGATTTTACTGTTGTAGTAATGACGTCTACGATAAGTGAATCTGTAGTACGACAATTTAATTACATTAGTAGGGTAACTTGAATCCTGTAATACTATAAGTTAACCCTTGCTGTACGATACCTTGACTCCCAGGTCCAATAACCTAACCCTTGGAATACGATAACTTGACCCCTATAAGTACAACGTGACCCCAGTAAATACAACATGACCCCAGTAAATACAACATGACCCCAGACCCCAGTAAATACTACATGACCCCAGTAAATACTACATGACCCCAGTAAAGACAACATGACCCCAGTAAATACAACATGACCCCAGTAAATACTACATGACCCCAGTAAATACTACATGACCCCAGTAAATACTACATGACCCCAATAAGAACAACAACTTGACCCCAATAACTACAACATGACACCAGTAAGTACAACCTCTATAAGTACAACAATATGATATGTAGCGTACGACAGCGTAAACCCTTGAATCCGACAACCAAACCGTAGGAGGTACGATAACACCCCACCATCTCTCACCCCACCCGAGTCATCATTAACCTCCTTCCCCCCCCCCCCCCCCCCTTTCCAAGTACAAAAGCCCTTATTATAAACCTAAACGATGATAATACGATAAGTTGACCTCCATTATACGATTACTTTTACCCCGTCAGGAGAGGAACTTGTATGATCTCGTGTTGGATAAACTTAAAAGATTTTCTTCCCTCCTCCGCCAGGTTTGGTTTCCTGAGGTACGATAATGTTATGTGGTATTGTTAATCGATTTTTTTGTCAATGAAGAGTTAATGTTTTTATTTGCTCTTGTTAAACGTCAGGTGTATGCTTCTTCTCGTGTTGTTTGTACCCTTTTGTTTATGTTTTGTGCTTGTAGGCGGATTATTGGTTAAGTATATTTTTTGGCTCTTATCTTTTTGTTTGTTAACATCCCTGCAAACTTGATCAGTTGTTTGCCCATCTGTTTGGTTGTTTATTTGCCTGTTGACTTCTTGTTGTTTACCTATTGTCTATCTTCTTATTTACGTCTGTTAATTTAATCTGTTGTCCATCTAACTTCTTTTTTTTTCATATTGATCTGATTTTTTATAATTGTTTATTTCTTGGTTTTTTTAACTTATATCTTTAACCTTTTATTTGTTTATAACTTAAGCTAGCGTTTACATTATCTGTTAAGGTGCTGTGTTCTTTTTGTTTGCGAATTTAAAAAAAAAATATATATAAATATATATATATATATATATATATATATATATATATATTCTGTTTCCAATGTTTACTTGTTTATTTTGTTTCCGTGTTAATTAATAACACTGTTTATTTTTGTAATTAATTATTGCATATCACTACTTTTGTTTACATTTTTGTTCTCATTAAGTTATTCCTGTGTCCGTGTTGTATTAAACCCCATTCTACTTGACCTAGGGTGCGGTATGTGAACCTGTTGGTATATGATACCTTACTGCTCACAGTACGGTAGATTCACCTGGTATTGTAAATGTGAAGAATAGAGAATATAATTAATTATATAGACCATTAGGAATGATAATGCATATTGTGAATGATACTTCCGCACTCGGTGTACGATACTTCCAGAAAATAGGAACGAATTTGTTTCGGGTTGTAAGGTGTGGTATGGCAACTTGTGTATGATAATTACTGTAATTATTATGAGTGGCCGGGTTACTATGGAAGAGACCGTCGCTTGTGATACTCTGGTACTCGTTTGTGTGATAATTAGACTGGTTATGTCTACCTTTTGGGTGTTGTTGATAAACACATACCATTCCGTGGTGCCTAGTGTACGATGACAAGTGTCGTGTGCGGTATGTGACAAACATTGCATTATGATACCTTTGCACCCAGTGTACAAGGGGTAAAGTTGCATTCGATACACAGTGTACGATGACTTACGCAACGTAACGATACTTAAGCACCTCATGACCCAGGTGTGAGGTGACTCAAGTGACATGACTATACCTTAACACCCAGTCGTCTACGATATCTGAGCACCAAGCGTGCACAATAACTACACTTCGAGTGAGGGTAAAGTGTCGTGAGCACTTAGCGGCCTCCAAGTCTGCCAAGTTCGTGTCTTGACATTTAGCTGTGCTGGGCAGGACGGTCGTATGACATTTGGCGAGGCGAGTGCCAAGGCGGAATGCCATGTCGGGTTTAACAGTGCCATTCTGCGCTGCCTCGGCCCCGTCTCCATGGCGACCTGTGTCACTAACGCCCCTTCCCCGTCCTCCCCCTCCCCCCTCCTCCTCCCCTTCCTCATCCCTCTCCTTGCCTTCCCCTCCACTCTCTCCCTTCTCCTTCCTCCCCTTCTCTTTCCTTCCCTTCCCTCTCCTCCCTTCCCGGCCTTCTCCCCCTCCCTTCACTCTTCCTCACCCCCTTCTCTCCCCATCACCCCCTCCCCTAAAGCGCCGCAGGACAGGGTATATTGTGGCGGTGGTTATTACTGTGGTAAGGGTTGTGGTGCTGGTGGTTGGGGCGGTTCTATGATAGTGGTGATGATGGTTGCTGTGGTGAGGGTGATGATGGTTGATGCTGTAGTGTAGTCTAATTTATGGGGAGATAATGGTGGTGGACTGGTGGTTGTGGTGGTTAAAGATGGAAATTATGTGTTTGTGGGGGGAGCAGGAGGAAGAGAAGTGTAGTGCATACCTTGATAAACACACACACACACACACGCACACAAAATACAATACAATAACAACTAACACCCAACGTTCCACACATTGTAAAAATTCCACAATTTATTGGTTTTCGGCTTTAGAAGATTATCCGAGTAAAATTCTTGGATATATATATATATATATATATATATAAAGATGTTAGATAATATACATGTTGGTGTCACTGCGACCTTATTATAATACTATGAATAAATCTTTCTCTCTTTCTTGCATTAAAGTTTCATGACCTCATAAGGTTTTTCTTCGCCTACATGTTATTGTATAGTTCAGGGGTTCTCAACCAGGGGGGAATTTCCCCCCTCAGGTTTTCAGGGGGGGGGGGAACTGATACTAATATGGAAAAAATAAAGAATTTTCAGTATTATATGCATATTATTTGGAATGCACTTTTTAAGGCAGACAATCTTGGAAAGGAGGGGTGAATGACATTCTGACATATGGTGAAAGAGTGCATGGGGCAAACAAGGTTGAGAACCACTGTAGCAATTACTTCAGAGTGAATAAAGCCTGTTCATCTCGTGTGGTTGTCATAGGGCAAACAAGGTTGAAACCACTGCTGTAGTTACTTGTGTGGTGAATAGTGCCTAGCCTGTTCTCTCGTGTGGTTGTAGTCATGGGGCAAACAAGGTTGAGAACCACTGCTGTAGTTACTTGTGTAGAGTGAATAATGCCTAGCCTGTTCATCTCGTGTGGTTGTGGTCATGGGGCAAACAAGGTTGAGAACCACTGCTGTAGTTACTTGTGTAGAGTGAATAATGCCTAGCCTGTTCATCTCGTGTGGTTGTGGTCATGGGGCAAACAAGGTTGAGAACCACTGCTGTAGTTACTTGTGTAGAGTGAATAATGCCTAGCCTGTTCATCTCGTGTGGTTGTGTCATGGGGCAAACAAGGTTGAGAACCACTGGTGGCAATTTACTTGTGTAGTGAATAATGCCTAGCCTGTTCCGAGTCATCAGGGCAAACACCCTGCTGTAGTTACTTGTGTAAGTGAATAATGCCTAGCCTGTTCATCTCGTGTGGTTGTGGTCATGGGGCAAACAAGGTTGAGAACCACTGCTGTAGTTACTTGTGTAGAGTGAACAATGCCTAGCCTGTTCATCTCGTGTGGTTGTGGTCATGGGGCAAACAAGGTTGAGAACCACTGCTGTAGTTACTTGTGTAGAGTGAATAATGCCTAGCCTGTTCATCTCGTGTGGTTGTGGTCATGGGGCAAACAAGGTTGAGAACCACTGCTGTAGTTACTTGTGTAGAGTGAATAGTGCCTAGCCTGTTCATCTCGTGTGGTTGTGGTCATGGGGCAACACATTCAGCTGGTTGTGGTTACACTGTAAACATATTTTTTCTATACTCAAAAATCATTTTAGATTTTGGTATTATATTGAAAGTATAATTGAATGGGCCTTTGGTTTTGATTCTCGAAGAAAACCGGATTTAATGGCCTGACTGATGGATAATTTTCGTCTACAAGTTTTTTTTTCCTAGTATGGCGTTAACGGAGTCACTGACCAGACCTTGTTCATCCTGGTCTTCGTCGTTCCTTGGTGTTACCGTCACTGTTACGTCATACATAAGTTATTTCTTTGTGAATAATTAATTTTGTAGTTAATAAAGGTCGTGTTGCTGTGGATAATTAACTTTCATACTTGGCTGTGGTTTTTCTATGAATAATTAATTTGACGTAGTTTGTTGACGTGTGTTGGTGTGTGTGATCATGAGTGGTCTTGTTATTACAGTATCTTGTTGTTTTGTTATCGTCCACTGTACTGCACTATGAATTAACAATATAAACTTAAAAAGCCAAGTTCTTAATCATGTTATCATTTATATCAAGATAACTCCAGTATATACCTGTGATTAACCCCCCCCCACACCTGAGTTATCACAGTTATCGCTGCAGTATAACACTGAACCCCCATCCCAGCAGCGGGTAAGGGGGGGGGGGAGGTGGTAAAGAGCGCGTATAACCTCGTCCACTATATTGGCCTCCTTGAAAATACCTCCAACGTCGAGCCCTGAATATTGATGAGGTCTGGTGACCATCTCTCCACTACCAGCTGTCTTGTAGGAGTCTGGTGCTTGTAGGTCTTGTAGGAGTCTGGTGCTTGTAGGTCCTGTAGGAGTCTGGTGCTTGTAGGTCCTGTAGGAGTCTGGTGCTTGTAGGTCCTGTAGGAGTCTGGTGCTTGTAGGAGACCCTGTAGGAGTCTGGTGCTTGTTGGTCCAAGGAGTCTGGTGCTTGTAGGTCCTGTGGGAGTCTGGTGCTTGTAGGTCCTGTAGGAGTCTCTGGTGCTTGTAGGGGCCCTGTAGGAATTTGGTGCTTGTGGGTCCTGTGGGTCTGGTGCTTGTGGGTCCTGGTCTGGTGCCTTGTATGGGTCTTGTAGGTCTGTAGGGTCTGGTGGTGCCCTGTAGGAGTCTGGTGCTTGTAGGACCCTCTGGTGGTGCTTGGGTCCTGTAGGAGTCTGGTGCTTGTAGGTCTTGGGGTCCTGAGGAGTCTGGTGCTTGTATCCTGTAGGTCTGGTGCTTGTGGGTCTTGTAGGAGTCTGGTGCTTGGGTCCTGTAGGAGTCTGGTGCTTATGGGTCTTGTGGTCTTGCTTGGGTCTGTAGGAGTCTGGTGCTTGTGGGTCCTGGTGGAGTCTGGTGCTTGTAGGTCCTGTAGGAGTCTGGTGCTTGTAGTTCCTGTAGGAGTTTGGTGCTTGTGGGTCCTGTAGGGTCTGGTGCTTGTAGGTCTGTAGGAGTCTGGTGCTTGTAGGTCCTGTAGGAGTCTCTGCTTATTGGGTCCTGTAGGAGTCTGGTGCTTGTGGGTCCTGTGGGAGTCTGGTGCTTGTGGGTCTGGTGCTTGTAAGGTCTGGTGCTGGTCCTGTAGGTCTCTGAAGAGTCCTGTAGGAGGCTCTTGCCCATGTCTTGTATGTTTGTAGGAGGTGAGAGGTATAAGGCTACGTGATCCTTGGGCTTATAGGATGAGGCAGAAGACTCTTAATAAAGGCTCTTGCTCTTGATGTAGGACGTGGAAGGCGATCCCTGACCCCAATTCTGATAGGAGACTGCGGAAGGATGTTAGGAGGATGTTACCTGAAGGATGCTTAACAGGTCGTCGAATAGCCCCCCTGTGATCCCGAGGCTGTACAGGGCTGTCAGGAAAGCCTTGTCCTAGAGCCTGACCCTCCCTCCCCTGCCCTCACCCTTCCCCTGCCCTCACCCCCTGCCCACCACCCCTTGCCCCTAACCTCTCACCTCCCTAACCTCCCCTCGTGTCATTCCCTCCACCTCAGTACTACCAACGATACTCTCTCTCTCTTGTCTCTCTCTCTTCTCTCTCTCTCTCTCTCTCTCTCTCTCTCTTCTCTCTCTCTCTCTCTCTCTCTCTCTCTCTCTCTCTCTCTCTCTCTCTCCTCTCTCTCTCTCTCATCTTTTTCTTTCTGTTTTCCTCTTCCTAAATTCCCTTTTTAGTTTCTTCTGTCTATTCCTTGTTTCTTCTTCTTTCTTCTTACATCCTTCCCCTTACACCTTCCTATTTTCTCTGTCACTTCCCTTCTTTTCGGGTCCTTTTACTCCTTTCCCATCTCCTCTCCCCCCCTCCCATCTCCTCTCTCCCGTGTCGCAGTCTATCCCATCTCTCTCTTCCGCTCCCTAAACCTCCAGAAGGGATGGAAACGCCTGTGGTGGGAGGGGGAGGTCCAACCTGTCTCTTTTATCTCACTATCTCCCTCCCGTCTCATCTCCTCTTCCTGCCTTACTCCCTTTTCATCTTATTTCTTCCATGTCTCTGTTCCTTTTCTTCTATTCCTCCTTTCTGTGTTTTGTATTTTTTTCCATCTTTATTCTAATTCTCTTCTCGTTATCTTTATTAGTCTCTTTTTTTCTCTTCTTTTCCATTTTTCTTTTCCTTATCTCACCCCTTTTCATCTTCCTATTCGTTCCATCACTCTCTTCGTATTTCGTCTCTCTGTTCCATTTGTCCTTCCCATCCTTCGTGCCCGTCTCATTACTACACTCCATCCCTCACCCTATTCCGCCTACCCATTCCATCTGTCCAACGGAGGAGGTGGTAGTCTCAGCAGGCAGCAGAAGCAGAAGCAGGCAGCGACACTCATCAGGGTGTTCATGCAGCGAGGCATTAGTTGGTGAACGTGTCCCTGTAGGGTATGGGAGGGTTGGTAATGGTCCTCTCGCCGCTACCGATACCAAACTCCTTAAAGTTGGCCCCGTCTAGTCTCGCCTTCTGCTGTGCTTGTGGTGGTGGTTGATGCTGTGGTGGTGGTTGTTGTGGTGGTGGTGGTTGATGCTGTGGTGGTGGTTGTTGTTGCTGTGGTGGTTGTTGTTGCTGTGGTGGTGGTTGTTGTTGCTGTGGTGGTGGTGGTTGATGCTGTGGTGGTGGTGGTTGTTTGTGGCTGTGGTGGTGGTTGTTGTTGCTGTGGTGGTGGTTGTTGTTGCTGTGGTGGTGGTTGTTGTGGCTGTGGTGGTGGTGGTTGTTGATGCTGTGGTGGTGGTTGTTGTGGCTGTGGTGGTGGTGGTTGTTGTGGCTGTGGTGGTGGTGGTTGTTGATGCTGTGGTGGTGGTTGTTGTGGCTGTGGTGGTTGTTGATGCTGTGGTGGTGGTTGTTGTGGCTGTGGTGGTGGTTGTTGTGGCTGTGGTGGTTGTTGATGCTGTGGTGGTGGTGTTTGTTGTGGCTGTGGTGGTGGTGGTTGTTGATGCTGTGGTGGTGGTTGTTGTTGCTGTGGTGGTGGTTGTTGTTGTGGCTGTGGTGGTGGTGGTTGTTGATGCTGTGGTGGTGGTTGTTGATGCTGTGGTGGTTGTTGATGCTGTGGTGGTGGTTGTTGTTGCTGTGGTGGTGGTTGTTGTTGTGGCTGTGGTGGTGGTGGTTGTTGATGCTGTGGTGGTGGTTGTTGTGGCTGTGGTGGTTGTTGATGCTGTGGTGGTGGTGGTTGTTGTGGCTGTGGTGGTGGTGGTTGTTGATGCTGTGGTGGTGGTTGTTGTTGCTGTGGTGGTGGTTGTTGTTGTTGCTGTGGTGGTGGTGGTTGTTGTGGCTGTGGTGGTGGTGGTTGTTGATGCTGTGGTGGTGGTTGTTGTTGCTGTGGTGGTGGTGGTTGTTGATGCTGTGGTGTGGTTGTTTTGTGGCTGTGGTGGTTGTTGATGCTGTGGTGGTGGTGGTTGTTGTGGCTGTGGTGGTGGTGGTTGTTGATGCTGTGGTGGTGGTTGTTGTTGCTGTGGTGGTGGTTGTTGTTGTTGCTGTGGTGGAGGTGGTTGTTGTGGCTGTGGTGGTGGTTGTTAATGTTGTTGTTCCTCCTATTACAGTAAATTTGTCTCTTGTTGTTGATGTTTATCTTGATTCTTCTGTTTCTTCTTTCTTGGACTCTCTCTCTCTCTCTCTCTCTCTCTCTCTCTCTCTCTCTCTCTCTCAACCGTTGTCCTTTCCTTCAGTTTAATCACATTCTCTTTCCCTTTCTTCCTCGCTTTCTCTTATTATCTTCATTATCTTCATATTTTTCATCTTTGCTTTATCTTCCCTGCGTTTTATTATTATTATTCTCCTCTTTCTTCTGCTGCCTCTCCTTCTAATTGCTTTTTGCCACCATTTATCATCGTTCTTCTTTTTTTCTAATTCTTCCTTTCGTTGTTGTTGTTTTTCATTCATCATAGTCTCCCCCTTCTCCTTTATCGTCATTATGTAAACATTCCATTCCTCAAAAAAAAAGAAACACAAATGTCCTTTTAGAATGCACCTGTCGCATGGTAGAGATTGGATAAACTGTGATAAAGGAATGGAGAAAGAAGGGCATAGGTGACTAATGTGAAGAAGTAAGAAGAAGAATAAAAAAGAAATGAGGAGGAGGAGGGAAATAGATAGAGGTTGACATATAAGAAAGGAAGGGAAGGGAGAGATAGGCCAAGAGGAAAGAGGAGGACGGAGAGATGGAAGGGGATGGGGAATGGAGGGAAGGGGGATAAATTAAGTGGGAGAAACAAGAGGATGAGAAAAGATGGAGGAAGAAGAAGAAAGGAGCCAGAAATTGCCGGAAGGGGAAGAAGAGAAGGAAAGAAAAATAAAAGAGGAAATAGTTTAAAGAGAAACGGTAAGGAATTCCTAAGTAACACTATTATATTATAACTATTTACGGGTGTTTTAAGCTGACTCGAGTGAGGTAACAGAATATAAACTGGGAATAAGACAAACTGCATCTCTTTACTCTTGTCTTCATTTGAATTCAACGCTGTATTCTCTCGTCTCTAGTTAAGGGTAGAAGTTAACGTGTTATGAGACTCCACTCGGGGTTTTTGTCTTAACTGATGCTAAGCGAACGTACGTATTTAAAGGTAAAGTCTTATTGTGATTATGATACCAATGTTAATATTCTTCTATACTATATGTTTAGTTACCTTTTGGAGTGACTGTACACACGAACCATTGAGAACTTAGTCACATGTCATAAAAACAAAATATTCTCGTTGGTTTTAATAATAATGTCTCATAATCCAACCTTGAAAATAAAAAGTTCGAATAAACTAAAGAGAGGAGAAACAAGTGAGCATCGCTGGGTTTGTTTACCTTCTACACCCGTGACGTAGTGAGCTCATAAACTTAATGTTGCCAGTTAGGGAGTTTAGTTGCCATTTAAATCTTTGAAACTTGGCCACCCGCTGATGTAATAGTTAGATTTTACACGCGAGTGGAAATGTACGTACATTAAGTTGGTGCTTTTCATGACGTGCTGTGTATATTTGCCCCAACGAGTCTATTTGGATATAATTTGGGGCTGTTTCTAACCGTCATGTAGGATATCGTGCATACAGGTTTAATTATCTTACCGGGATTTGATGTTGTCGTACTGTACAGATGACGTATTTTTTACAGGGTTTATGTAAAGGATTCAAAGGTAATTGTGTGTGTATAAAGAGAACATTCTTTACTGTGTGTCTGGATCTAAACTCTTGTGTCATGTTAACTCTGTACCCTTTAAGTAGGTACAGTTCAGTCACCCACAAAAGTCCTGTCGCTTCTCCTCCTGAACCACGAACCCTGACATTCAGACTCGTAAAGCCGAAGCATTTATGGACAGAATAATGTATCAGTGTCTAATGCTTCGGGTTCATAAGTCTTATTCTCGGGGTTCGTGGTTCAGGAGAAGCGACAGGACTTTGGCGGGTGACTGTACATAAACTCATAGATGGACACACTAGAAACTTCATGTCTTCACTCACACACACACACACACATATCATAAGCCGTATCTTACCACCTTTTAACACCTGAAATAATGCTTTTTATCTTGTCATAAAACATAGATGGTTTAGTTACAGCTCTCACCACATGGAACTATTATATTTAGGGATTAAGATCAAAGTAATTACAGAGCTCAGTCAGGAACGTCGGGCTAACCTGATGATGACGCTACAGTACCTTGGGTCGACAGGTGAGGGTCACAGGTTATTGCAGGAAGAGACAAATACGGGTCACATGAACAACAAGACTAACCTAACCAAACCAAGCCTAACCTAACCTAACCAAGCCTAACCTAGCCTAACCTAACCAAGCCTAACCTAACCTAACGTAACTTACCTTACTTAACCTAACCTAACAAATTTAACCTAGCGTAACCTAAGTAGCAGTTTCCTGTTAATAACATGTCCCGAAATGACTGAACACCCAGACTCACGTAGAACCAAATACACTACTCATGGACAGCTGTTAAGACAACGTTCCTCACGTGTTTATCTTCTCAGTCTGGGAATGTGAAAAGTTCCCACACAGACTACCCCCCCACCTTAACTGGAGATCTGTGAGAACGCATCTAAATGGCTCACTTTAAACCACCATAAATGTGGATACTAAAAAGTTCACACGTAAAATATTTCCATTGTGGACGTGTGAGAATACTTCCAACTGGGTTCACTTAAAGTCTTCAGCACAAAGTTTTAAGAGACAAAATACCAGAGAGATATTCGACCCTAACGATGATAAGTACAACGTATGAGTGTTTGGCTGTTTCCTCCACTTAGTAGTTATTGAATATTTATAATTAATAACTTTTGGTTTTGTCAAGGAATTAATCATGTGTTAAATGACCATCTATGATTATTTTAATTAATTGTAGTTGTTTAGTTGTGTAGTTTAATAAGCTTTTGTTTGTTTTATTTGTTTATTGATTATTAATTTGTATATTTACTTAGTTACGTATTTGTTTATTTTAAGATTTATTTACTTATGTATTTGTTTTATATATAGATTGTATATCTCATTTTAAACACACACACACACACACGCACACGCACACACACACACACACACACACACACACACACACACACACACACACACACACACACACACACACTATTCCTTGCCCCGTCTATACATTTTAATTCGTGAGGGTTTTAGGTCCTACATGAACCATGGAAATTAACCTTGGACAAAACTGGCCGCCTTTTAATCCCTCTAAAACCTCTCGGCTTTTTATTTTGCTCCATGGAGTGTGTGAGAGAGAGTGGGGAAAAGAGTGAGAGATAATCTGAGGGGAAGAGAGAAAGAGAGGTCGATTAATGGCTGTGTGAAAGAGAATTTTGTCAAGTGAAAGTAAAGACCTCTCTCTCTCTCTCTCTCTCTCTCTCTCTCTCTTTCTCTCTCTCATAAAACCTTTAATGAATCGCTAAAGAAAAAAAAAATCATCCGGCTAAAAAAATTCAACACAGTGTAAGTACTTCAACGAGAGTTTATAATTGTAAACATCGTCTTCAACTGCTGAATACTAGTACATGTAACGCGCCACCTTGACATGTGTCGCGAGGTTAATATATATACTGTATATATTAGATTGTGGAAAGAATATGTAATTACCTCGCTCTCTCTTTTGTCTCACTCCCGAGGGTTTAAATCCTTGCTCTGGTGATGGCAACATGGCTCCAGATTATGAGGCCTGGCGTGGGATTGGTGGATCAGTTGCCAAGAATATTTGTGTGTTTGTTTTTTCTCGCGCGTCAATTATTTTACCTGACCTCTTGAAGGAGTACAAGTGTGGTAATAGAAGTAATGGTGACACTTGTGGTAGTAATGATAATGACGTTAGTGTTTATAGTTACAGTAATAGTTATAACTAAATGGTGTTACAACAGGATCACATAGACTGGTTAAAGGTTGAGACACGGTAAATGTTCAGGCACAGGATAACGTCACCATCTAGTATTATCAAAGACTACCTGGAAAAAGACAAAATTCCTTAGTTAGTACAGTATGGATATTTTAACCTTGATATCGTAACTTTAACCGCTTCCTACAGCAGAGGATAACGTCCCGAAATCTTGATGTTATTGATGTGGTGGACGATACCTAACTTGACCCTAATCTCTAAGCTCTCCAGGACGATAACCTTCGCATATTATAACATTGACCTCTTCGTATGCTAAAGGATAACGTTACGATTTCGGAACTTTAACGACGTGAAGTATACCAAACTTGTCTTTAACCCCTAGGACGGTAACCTTCCAGATATCGTAACTTTAACCACTTTGGGAAAACTTTAACCTAGGAACTCACTTTAAGAATTGCGACGCTTCAACGAGAGAGACAGAGAGAGAGAGAGAGAGAGAGAGAGGTGTTTTAAAGATGGCGGCTCCGGGCTGGCCAGTGTGGGATAACCTTCCTCGCGTCTAGCCACATTCCTCGAGTCGATCCCTCCCTCCCTCCCTCTCTCCCCCCTCCCTCTCTCCCCCCTCCCTCTCCCTCTCTCCCCCCTCCCTCTCTCCCCCCTCCCTCCCAAAAATCTTACGACAATTCTTTCGCTGACTGAGACTTGAGAAAGAACATCTTATTACGGTAAATTCTCAAACAGTGTTATTTTTATGCCAATTTTAACCGTCATCATTTGTACTGTAGTGAATTACATGTTTTAAGTGAGTCAGGTCAGTTGTTGAGTCATTGTGTCGTGAGTCAGGTCAGTTGTTGAGTCATTGTGTCGTGAGTCAAGTCAGTTGTTGAGTCATTGTGTCATGAGTCAGTTGTATTGTTGTGTCATTGTGTCGTAAGTAAGCTGTGTTGTTGAGTCGCTGTATCGTAGTTGAAGTGAGTCATGTGTTGTTGAGTCGCTGTATCGTAGTTGAAGTGAGTCATGTGTTGTTGAGTCGTTTTATCAGAGTTGAAGTGAGTCAGATGTGATGTTGAGTCGTATAGCAGATGAAGTGAGTCACATGTGTTGTTGAGTCGCTGTATCGTAGTTGAAATGAGTCAGATGTGATGTTGAGTCGTATCGCAGTTGAAGTGAGTCAGATGTTTTGTTGAGTCGCTGTATCGTAATTGAAATGAGTCAGATATGTTGTTGAGTCGCTGTATCTTAGGTGAAGTGAGTCAGATGTTGAGTCGTTGCATCGTCGGTGAAGCGAATCAGGTATATACTGTAAGTGTTAAAATCTTCACTTGCGGTAAAACTGAATATAGGAATCTGTGAGCATCTGGGTCCTGGGTTGGCAATTTGCTATATTGAACATTTATTGTATAGATGGCTGCCGGTAGGGGAACAATAGCTTGGAAGATGAGGATGTGTTCTGTAAGAGTCTTAGGGGAAATAATCTTGTCTTGGTGTAAGGGAAGGTAATGATGATAGTGGTAATGATAGTAATAATGATCATAATAACAATAATAATAATAATGGTATAGTCTTAAAGCAACTTGGACATCATATATGTCACCACCAAGTCAAAATACTCAGTAAAACGGAAAAATTGTGCTCCACTCACAATGCAATTTCGCCACCCACCTCCCCCCTCCCCCATAAACCCCCTACCACACCTTAGTCCCTTTGTGTTATATTCAACTTGCCTAGAAACGTTCACACCTGAGTAACCAAGGTGAAAATAACTCACCTTTGTAATTAAAAAAAAAAAATTCATGGAAATTGACACGTACCGTAGCCATTGTAGGTGCGTGTTTTAGTAATGATGTCTGGCCAGTGAATACATTTACTACCTGCTCTTGTGCCATCGTAGTTGAGTTTATTTATTGATTTATTTATTTATTGTTTTAGTTATTGAGATCATTATTTGGTATATGGCTCTGGTTAATTGTGATTCATTACAGGTGATTTGACGAATATGTGAAGGGATGTTATTGGTAGTGTAGGATGAACGACGATAATTTCTTTTTCTAGTATGAACATGCTTAACAGTAGTACCATGACCCCAACCTGTGACACAATGGTTATCTCAGTATTTGATAATAATTGTCTGCGCGTGTGTCCCAATATTTATACGGGGTTATTAATGCTGTTTTTCTCATAGTTTATTTATTTATTTATTTATTTGTTTGTTTAGTACCCGATTGGGATTTCATGAACGCTGAGACCACCCCCCTCCCCCCCACGTGGGACTTGTTTCGCATCTGCTCAGTGTTTATCCGGTCGTGTCATTAAGTCCTGGTCCACATTCTACACGCATACACACTGCCTCTCCATCGTCATTTATTTTCACTAACTTAATATTAACTTTTCACAACTTTTTGTTTTATTTATGACTTCCTGTTGTGTTTTTCTTTCTCCATATTTTCTTTTAATTTTATACCAGCGTTGTGAAGCTTCCTGTCCGCCTTGTTACTTATTCATGTTTGACTTACTTTTATGTTATGTCTCCTACCTCAAACTACAGTATGTCGGTTATTATTATTATTATGATTATTATTAGTAGTAACAGTAGTATTAATAGTAGTAGTAGTAGTAGTAATAGTAGTTAGTAGTAGTGTTTTCTTTTGTTTGTTTGTTCTTTCTTCTTTCATTCTTTCTTTCTTTCTTTCTTTCTTTCTTTCTTTCTTTCGTACGTGTGTTAATGTTGGTAATCGTCATTTGTATAAGAGTATTAACAAGCCCCCTGAACTGATCTGACCTCTGCATAGTTAGTTATTTTCTTCCTATTTACTCAGTGTTAATGTTGATCCGTACGTAATGACGATAGTCCCAGGTTATGGTTGTTTGGTTGAATTGGGAAGTATTTAAGACTGGTCCCGGGTTATGGTTGTTTAGTCAGGGTTAATAAGGACTGAGGCCCATTTGTTCAGGTACCGAGGGAAGGAAGGGAGTGAGTGTAGGAGCTCTGGAGGCTGACGTAGTTGAACATGGGTTGCGGCGACCGTAGACTTTTATCACGCGGCCGTCTTGTTTGTCTGACAATAGCTGTTAAACCCGGACCTGCAGTTACTCAAAACTATCTGTACTTAGGAGAGGGAGGGAGGGGGGGGGGCAATAATCACTAGCACTCCTGTTCTCTCGGTATGGGTGCCAAGTCCTTCGTCCTCTGTCTCATACTTTAAAAATTTTACATAGATATTCTTTTTAATGATTAGCTTAACCCTTTCACTACGATGACATAATTCTCAAAGGGTTAAGTCATCATACTCAATGGGTTAAGTCATCATACTCAATGGGTTAAGTCATCATACTCAATGGGTTAAGTCATCATACTCAATGGGTTAAGTCATCATACTCAATGGGTTAAGTCATCATACTCAATGGGTTAAGTCATCATACTCAATGGGTTAAGTCATCATACTCAATGGGTTAAGTCATCATACTCAATGGGTTAAGTCATCATACTCAATGGGTTAAGTCATCATACTCAATGGGTTAAGTCATCCTACTCAATGGGTTAAGTCATCGTACTCAAGAGATGAAAAGTGTATTCTGTGTTAGGTGGAGTGGGTGTATGAAGGGGGGTCACTATTAGGGTCAGGTCCTGGTAGTTGTCTCAGTGTTATTACCCATATCTGTAGACCCAGTCGCTTCTATAACTTTAATTAATAATATATATTTTTTATTATATTGTATTATATTTTCTAAGACTTTAAGGGTTCACAGTGAGAGATTGAGCAATACTATTATGTTATTATTGACGTGTGTGTGTGTGTGTGTGTGTGTGTGTGACATTCCTAAAGGTTGGGTTAATTCTCTCACCTAACATGTTATATATATTCTCACGCCTGATAAACAAATGGCTAGGTAATTAAATAACAACATTATTACATGTTACATATAGACATTAACCGATTACCTAAATAATTACATTAATTACATATTACCTATAAACATAAAATCACTCTTGCCAATAATGTATTACGTTATTAACTACATAACGTCCTATAGACACGTTAACTCCCTCTTGTCAATAAGTTATTACCTAAATAACAACATTTTGGAGCACCTCAATACCTTACCTGGCTGACATTTGAATTAATTAATGAATCGGTGTAGTATTGGCGGTCGATTCCAGGCACACCTGTCCACGGACGTGAGTGTGTCAGACCGACTGTGAATTTCTCTTCATTATGCATACAAATGGTTGAATCTGCCCGCTACACCGTCCCCGAATGGTAGTGCTGGCGAGCGCGTGTGTGTGTGTATGTGTGTGTGTGTGTGGTTTAAGATGTTGTGGTGGTGACTGGTTGTATTGCCATGGTGATATTATGGTAATGATAGTATAATGGTAACGGTGATAATGGTAGTGAGTACACATATATATATATATTGAAACAAGGTACTTACCAATTAATTTCCAATAAACACTCTATTACCTACCTTTAAAGACCATGTGTTTGTATCTCACTAAGGTTTCTAGGTCAACATAAATAATTGACCAGTTACAGTGAAACTCGCCACATCCGGGTGAAAAGTGAGTGAATTTACAGTAGGTCAGAGTTGGAACAAGGTAGATGTCACACTGGCCCGGTCAGATCTAGTCAGAGCGACTTTGGCTGTATAAGTGATTACGTGTTTTGGTTGTGTTGACTGTGATCTCTCTCTCTCTCTCCCTCTCTCCAAGATATCAATACAAGGGGATAATGGTCTTAATTTGTCTCTACTATCATTTAAACCTTTTTAAGTCCTTCATAAATCAAGAAAAAAATAACGACGTTATCCATTTACTGCCCTGGGTGGTGTGTTAGCTGGAGTAGTAGTTGTAGTTGTTCGCTCCGTAGCCTAGTGTATACTCTGGTGCAGTTCAAATTTCCCGCGTTTTAAAGGAAAATACTAAATATTAATTTGTCGTTGTTTCCAGAAATACCTTCATAAGAACTATTTTAATAACGAGTGTTTCATCTAACTGACGGATGTAGGTAATAAACGTGTAATTATGACGATGGGACTCGCACGATCCCGGCACTAACTCCCACTAAACCAGCTTTAAACTAGACCCAGGGAATTGATTCAGCCCTTGTGTAGGTAATCCAGGCGAGTGTAAGCGACTCAGCCACCCCTAACCTGAAACAAAAGCGTCACTCACTACCCTCGATAACAAACAACTACGGTGCAAACGGACCTGTTATGTGGGTGCAGCAAGACGTTATCTGTGTGAGGAGTAAACAGGAACTGTGTTTGGGGTGTCGAGGGGGGTAGGGAGATAAGTAGGAAGGAAGGAAGTGAGGAAGGCGGGGGAGGAGAGTCTAGCACCATCTGGCAACCGTGGCTCGTGATTCACGCAGCGTGGCAGTCAACTGTAGTCGCTGCTTCAACCTCCCCGGGAACTAAGCGTGCACACCGTCGCTCTCGTGCACCCCTTCTTGTGGCTCCTATTGATTAGTGATTTGGAAAAGAAACATAATATAATTGGCATTCACCCAATTGGAATTTGTAAGTCGTTGCTTTGATAGAAAATTTTTAGCGGTGATATGGAAAGCGTATTGTGTTGGTGACGGTCAACACGGTGGCAATTTGGTTGATCTTCATCACAGCCTTAGTTTGTGACCCACCCAGAAGGTGATGATGATGATGATGATGACGACGACTCTAGCGGCCGCTTCTCTCCGTGGGATGTGAATAATGACCCGGTAAATTGATGAAAACCTTACCCATTTTGCATTCACCCAAACGCGGTCTCTGAAAATCTGTTGGAATATCGATCAGAACACAATGAGTAACGTCCGCTTAAAGATAAAGAAATTCATCATGAATGTCTTGCCCGAGGGGGACGAGTTGAAGGAAAGAGATGTCACGGTTGGAAGGTCAGACTGTACCCCTGGGGCCGCGATATTACCCCCTGGGGGCAATCAGCCTAGTTGGGACACGTACCCTGAGCAAATAAAATACTTCGGGATACTGAGTTACGTGGATGAGTGTGAGGGGAGTGAGGTAAAGGGTGGGGGTAAGGCGGCCACGCTCACCGACAGTGACAAGGTAACCACAGCAAGAGCTGCATGACTTCCCTTACAGCACTGTTCTAGAGCCACTGCATGACGCTTGTGCAGCAAAGAACGGCAGCTATAATGTGCTTATGCAGCAGAACAGCAGCTGTAACAGCTTTTTGCAAGAGCAGAGAATAGAAAGTTTCTGCAACAGGAAACCACAGCTTTTGCAGCAAAGATCAGCCGCTAAAACACCATGCGAAACACAACAGCAGCTACGACAGGAGACAGCATTTCACATCACTGAGCTTGTACAGACATACTCATAACACAGTAGCCAGGTGGTAGTCAAGGCTGGTCTGATATTTACATTAGCTTAAAGGAGAACAGAGTACAGCTCCATGAAACTTACCTGCCAGTGTGCAGGTCGTTTTGATGCACTGATAGCCTAGCCTACTGTACAAAGAGCAAATGTTATGACAAGCGTTTGCTTACTGTACATTACAAGTCTGTTTACAGATGATTTTGTTTTAATAGAATTAACTGCATTATTACCCTAGTTGTCAGTGCTAAAATGATATAACAATCTTTTATCTTAATATTTGTCAGTCAAGCTACCAATGAGAAATAAAGTCTTGTATAGAAAATATACATAAAAATATAAAGCTTCTTTTTGCATTGTTAGCACCGTTGCTAGTGAGAAATGTTTATAAAATTATAAAATGTATTAATGCATAAGAATGCTAATTTGAACGAGACGTTATAAAAACAACTTTTTTTGCATCGTTTAACCAAGTTGCAAATGGGGAAACCTCATAGAAATACATTCTAAGCTTTGTTGTAAATGATGAAAGGTATAAAAATGTTGACTGACGCTT